TCCTAGTAGCTTCTTGTTACTAGTAATGCCAGGAGCGCCCCGAGTAGCGACCTTGCTCCTAGTAGCGATGCCCTTTGTTCCGAGTAGCTTTTTGTTGCTAGTAGTGCCAGGAGCGCCCCTAGTAGCGTCCTTGCCCCTAGTAGCGATGCCCTTTGTTCCGAGTAGCTTCTTGTTGCTAGTAGTGCCAGAAGCGCCCCTAGTAGCGTCCTTGTTCCTAGTAGCGATGCCCTTTGTTCCTAGCAGCTTCTTCTTGTTACTAGAAATGCCAGGAGCGCCCCTAGTATATAGCGTCTTTGCTCCTAGTTGCGATGCCCTTTGTGACTAGTAGTTTCTTGCTACTAGTAATGCCAGGAGAGCCCCTAGTAGCGTTCTTGCTCCTAGTAGCGATGCCCTTTGTTCCGAGTAGCTTCTTCTTGTTACTAGAAATGTCAGGAGCGCCCCTAGTAGCGTCCTTGCTTTGTAAGATTTCCCGTGCCCCAACTTCCGGCTGTGAAGCGTCGTTGCCCCGACCGCTCCAGGCAGTGGAAGGGCAGGGGTGGCCGCTGGCCCGCGGTACAAATTCGTCCCCTCAAGAATCTGTGAATGAAGAATGATGCTAAAATGTCATGTGAGTCAGGCTAGGAGGGGGTGAACGGAAGGTAACACATTGAAGTGAAAGTTGCTAGGTGTCAGATAAAACATATGATGAGGATGACAAAGATAAGGATGCACGATGAGTATAAGATAAGGCAAATTTGGGGATTAGGACTTTTGGATGTTTCTTAAGGCCGTGAACCGCAACTGCAGAGTGTTTGGATCTCAGTCGGGGACGCACTTCCAGTGCAACCCACAAACCACAAACCACAACTCAAACATCACGATGACTGTACCATGGCAACCACGGCAGCAGTCGCGTCGCGATCTTGCGCACAAGTGCCCGCAGCAATCAAAGGCATACGACGGCGGCAAGCAAACACAGACGCCTGTGCCAACCCACCATTCGATTGGCTTGTGAGTCGACCTAGGGCAAAAAGACCGATGTCGCGCGAGCTCCGAAAACTGGGGCTGAAACCTGTCAGGACCAGAACGGTCATCTGTGCCGAACTCAACGCGGCCCCATCCCGACTTGAGCCGAGCCTGCAAATGATGTGCACTTCACTCGGGCCAAAGAAACGGCAAACAGCTATGCAAGCAAATGCAAGCAAGCTGGGTTGGAAGGTCTACTCCTTTCACAGCAAATTCTGCACAAATGCTGTGGGTCGTGTCATGTCCTGCATGCTTCATACGGTGATGTTGGGTCTTGTAGTAGACTTGGGGAACAATCGTGTGTCGTGTGTCATTCAAGTGACCTGCAATCCTGCCATTTTGGTCAGAGTCTGAGCGAAGCGAGAATAGGCCGAAATGGCTGGACCGCCATCAACTGTGGGATCTTTCGTCCCAAACAGCCTGGGAGAGCTCCTGATCCACTTCCGAAACTTCAAAAAACACCGTCCTTGATTGCAACAAGAACTGTTTGACACTGCAATGGATTAATGGGCCAGGAGGTCCGACTCGGAGTCGTGGATGAAAAAACACTCCGGTGGAGGAGCACAGCGTGAGGAGCCACATTGGGCTTATAAGCAACTGCGCCTTTGCACAAGGAGAGCTTTCGCACAAGTCCCAGCGTCAGTGGCTGGCTGTGCCAAAAGAACAAAGCGTTGTGCCCTGTGTTCAGAGGCAAAGCTCCGCTGGACCTCCTCTCAAGCGGAAAAGCTCGATAACCTCAGCAAGCTTTGCTATGGCTCAGGGCCGACGCTCCCGCCCGCCCTCCCTCGCTCCCTCGCTTGCTTCCCCTCTCTCTCTCTCTCTCTCTCTCTCGTGCGTTTCTCTGGCGCAGTGGATGTCGAGGGCCGTTTTGCCGAGGTGGAAGCACTACTCCTCCCTTCAGCTTGGCTCCATCTTTGGGGTGCCAAGCCTGTCCCTTGGCTCCCACAGTTGGACGACCTTCGGCTCATCGCTTTGCCATTGCAGGACCGTTTTGAAGGCTGCCTTGAAGGGTGCAACAGTGGAGCGACTGGAACTTGTTGAACTCGTAAAGAGGGACAAAAAGTAAACATACCCCCCAGCCTTGAAGGGTGACAATGTGATGTCAAACGGAAGCAATTGCCCTGGCTGAATGTCCACCATGTCACGGATTGCAACAGGTGGGACCGCGTTTTGAACTAGCATCACTGCTCGGTACTTTGGAATCTGACACTCCACACTATTCTCCAGGAAGCTATGTACCGCTCGGTTGGGCAAGTGCATCAAGACATCCTTCACGATCAAGAGGTCTGCTGCTGGCAAGTCATCGGACACGTCACCACACTGAAACTCCACATTGGACAAACCGTACAACTCAAGGAGTTCAGAGTCTTCCATGAAGAAGCGCGAGTTCTCCTCCACCACATATGGCACCACGTCTACACCTGTGTATTTCACGTTCTGCCAATGCATGAATCGCTGGTAGCCAGATGGCCAGTGGCCACAGCCAGCGTCAACGATGGAAGTGATATGGTACTTCTGCAGGAAGGCTTCTAAGAAGGAACGAAACTCTCGTGTTGTTTCTTCACGCGAGCCTAATCCTGAAAGTGCTTCTCCATCCCACTCCTCCCTGGCATAAATTCTTGAGAAGTTGGCCTTTGATGCACCAGGCACACCATCCGGTACAACTTCCACTTCATCATCTTTGGAACCATCCTTCGTATCTTTGCCTTTGCTCACTTTGGTCAACCATGTGGGCAATCGCCTCCTCTCGGCTGCCTGCGCCATTGGAGATGGCCGCCCCTCCCAAGTGTCTGCTGCCCTGGGTGTCTTGGTTCGAGCATGCCGCACAAAAAGCAGGCCCGGCAGCAAGGAAAGCCCTAGCTTGCCTAGATTCAATGATAACACACGTGGAGCATAAAAGGTCCGCGAGGCCTTTAAAAAAGGGACAGAATGTGAAGGGAGGGGAAAACTTTTAAAACATTCCGAACCATACGTGTCTTCCAAAACCACCACTGAGTTGGCCCCGAGTCGCCGCGCTTGTGCGAGCCAGGAACTTGACTAATTCGGGCACTGCAGCTCAGCATTGCCATCGGCCGCTTTTGCATGGCATGGATGCCTATGTCAAGCTGCATGGCTTGCCATGCAAATCTTTTCCACGTGACACTAGGCTGACGTGCTGTGTTGTGAGACGAGGGTGCTAAACACATTATGCCTGCTGAAGGGTCACACAGTCCAGTGGTCTTGATATCCAGCTGCACATCATCCTCGAAAAGCACACGCCTACCACTACCATAGATATCCATAGATCACACAACTGAACTACTGTATGTCTTCTTACGCCGTATTAGTATAGGCTAGGGTAGAGGCCATCGCTACTAGGTTCCTTTTGCTATTAGGTTGGAATTTGCAGGTCTCGATGTTCCTCTCTTGCTGTGGTCACCATCCACATCACCAAACGCTATGTGGCCTTATGACGAGCCTTGCGATTCAGCATGCATATAATGTATGTTGCTGATCTACAAAAATCTACATCTAGTCTTTCGACACCATGCATGGCAGGCACAAAAATAGACCGGGCAAACCACATCAAACACTAAGCCACTGTTCACTCCCAAAAAAGAACTTCCTCCACATATGTATATATACATATATAAAGGATCTCGCTCGCAACGAACTGCAAGAGGAGCACCTCCATACTGTCCAAGTGGCTTTGGACAGGCCGCAGGTTGTGCCAGTTGTGCGACGATCTGAGCACCTGCCAACCCTCAAAATAGAAGCAGTGTATTTTCTTGTTCGCTTATTGTTTCTAATAGCTTCTTGTTACTACTAGCACGGCACTTGTTAGTAGCGATGCACTTGTTCCTAGTAGCGTCCTTGCTCCTCCTCAAAATAGAAGCAGTTGTGCCAGTTGTGCTTATCTCGAAGCTTTTGGCGGTGGCCCGCAATCCCTCTGGGGATCCTGAATTTGTGCCCTGGCTTCGACACCGTCGTCTCACGAGGCATCTTGTCGAAATTATCATCCTACAGTATCAGTTAATATAAGTTATGTATATATATATATATATACGCAGACGAGGAGTAGATAAAGACTATATAGCTAGACAAGCCGTGGGCAAGGCAAAAATTGCTGATCTCGACTGACCAACCCTTCGGACAGCAAACTCATGGCCTGACGGACATGCAGATGTTGTGGCAGGTCGAGTCCCTGCCTCAAACAGAATGGGCAGGCTCTCTGAGCTTTCCATCCCAGCCGTGCGTATGAGTTCTGCAGAACTTCTAAGGGCTAAACCAACAACGTGTTCTTGGAGTCCTGGCGCTGGTGGACTTGGGGCTTTACATGGCTTTTGCAGCTCTACACTACACTTCAATCTTTGGGAAGCGCACTGCCATTTGTATTGCAGTAGTACACTTTGCATCACTTTGCATGCTTTGCATCTTGTGTGTGTCACTTTGGCCTGTGCTTGAAGCTCTATGATTTGGCCCGCCTCTGTTTTGTTCAGGCGTCGTTCGAGGGCTTGTAATTCACGGCTACGCTTCTGCTCCTCCTGAAGAATGCAGTGCCGGACAAGGATGCATCACGAAGTGCTTATGCAGCTAGTAACAAGAAGCTATTAGGGGCTCCTGGCATCGCTACTAGGAGCAAAGACGCTACTAGGTGCTCCTGGCCGTACTACTAGGAGCAAGTAGCTACTAGTAACAAGGATGCATCACACAAACGGGAAAAAATACACACAAACATCGCCCTGCGATCGACAAGCTAAACAGCCGTGATTCACATCTTCATCCACATGCTCACCCTGCTTATAGAGACAGGATGACCACCCCCTCACAAGCTAAACAGGTTTGAATTTGACAGTGGGTTGTAGTGACATGCTGCTAGCCAAACTCACAAACACATATAATATATATATATATATGTACTGTTACTCTTACTCATACTGTAAATATGTTTTCTCTGGGCTTGTTAATGGCACAATTACAAGTTCCTTCAGCATGCATCGTTGTGACTGATAGATGGTGCAACTTATATATAAGTGTCCCTAAAAATCTACCAACCAAATCATTAGCGGGCTATCCTGCGTCCTAAGTAGTAGCTGCTTAAGCTACTAGCTACCTCTCCCTCCTAGCGGCCTTCCCCCCCCCCCTGTCCAACTTCCCTGACTTCCCGCTCCTCAGTGACCAGGTCTCTGATGTTCTCCATACATCGGTCATCCCCCTGCTCCCGCGCCAAGCGCTCTGAAGCCAGCTGTGTTCTGAGCTCCTCTATGTCCAAGGGGCTTAGCCCTAGGCCAGCAGCGCAAAAGAGAGCAAAAGATGCCAAAGGCTGATGTAGGGTGAATGGCTCAGCCAGTAGCAGGATACTTCTACTAATGGAAGTTGATTCAAGTCATGTCCACGCGTCAGCCGGCTGCCCCCCCCGAAATATGCCTCCGCCCAAGGATATTCGATGAGAATGATCCTTATGCCGGAGCTGCTCGCCAAGATCATGGCGCACCTCTTCTCGAAGGTGCTGAGCTCTTGTGGGCCAATGGGAAGGCAAAGTCTTGCTGTGCTGCCCAACTTTTATATAACGAACAAAAAAGGCGAAAACACAAGCCACAAGCTGAACATGACATACCTGAACCTGGTTCCTTTCAAGCTAGTCACTGGTGGACTCAGGGGGACCCACAAAGGACCCACACCCGCCTGATCAAGCGTCGCCCATAACTTGGTCTGCCCATCAACGAGGCGTTGCAGCTCACCTTGCGAATTGGCCTTGACAAGATGGGCATCGAAACTGAAGTGACCGGGGGTGAAGAAACCAAAAGAGTGCATTGCATCGATTCACACCTTGTACATTGTGGTGCGATTGCATCTTTGCATCTTTATTCAACGAATGCATGTGATTACGCACAAGCGCTGAGCTGTCAAAACCTGGCGACCTCTTCGAAGTGCCAAGCCGCAGGAAGCTGATCACATTGATTTCGATTCGCCTGGCTCCACGGTCCGCAGTGCAGTGACGTGTTTGGACGTTCCGTGGAAAGTGCAGAGTGCGGTGGGCTTAATTCAAACGCAATGAAGGACACGATATCTGCATATATTGATGTAATGATATATTGTAATTTCTCTCAGCCTCTTGAAGTTCTTCTCGCAGCTCCAACAAGTCATGACGAGTGGAGACCACATCCTCTGCAGGTCCAGGGTCGAAGGCCAAAACTGTACAGCAGCTTGACACAATCCGCAAACGGCGAACAGCTGACATAGGCTGGAAGAATTCCGCTTAAAGTTTAGAGTTTAGAGAAACTGTGCATTTACCACTCCCACCTTGATATGGTCAGCCCAAATCCTACCCACACTAGAGCCTTGGAATGCTTCTCCGCGAAGTTGGTGACAGCGATTTCCTGGCCATGCGGTCAGCTTCGCAACACCGGGAGCCTCCAATGACTCAGACCAGTTAGTGACCTCTGGATGTTCCCCTCTTGACAGACATAGGGCTATCAAAGCGTAGAGCTGACAATCCAAGTCCGACACCAGGCTTGCTTGGAGCTCTCTGTCCTTAGGCTCAAGGCAAAACGTTGACATTGAGAAGTTCATTTGAGAAGGTCATGCCCCCAATAAGTTGCCGTTCAGTTGACAACCCATGTCATCCGTCCTCGACCGTCTCGTCATCCGCTCAAGCTGAGGCACATGTCCACGGATTTGTTGCTCAAGGTGAAGTCGCTGCTCACCCAAAAGCGTCTGCAGGTGCTTCGATTCCTACAAGTGGTCCAGTCCAGAGGTCTGAGGTGAGTGAAACATTGTGGAACATTGTGAAACTACTCTTTGGACACTTGAACCCAAAAAGTAGGCTGTCAAGAGGGGAGTGAGCAAGAATAGAAACTGGTGGAGCAATTGTTAGCTTCTCCCTAGGCCTTTTTGCTAGCCTGAACTTGGGAGATGTCTCGATTGCCAACACTGAGCCGAACCTGTGCTCTTATAATCCGGGCAAGTGACATTAGAGATCTTCTCCTCCATTGATTTCCTTGCCAGGTTTGTCTGGTAAATTTCCACACCCAGCGTGTCAGAGAAACTCTTTGCCTGATGCAAGCCAGAACGAGCCGAGAGACAGGATCATCATGCAGGTATCCTCCCGATCCTGGCATCAAACCGCCCTCTACGCAGATTGCCAAAAATGCGATGCGTCTCCAAAACAGTTGGACAGGAGAAATCCGCAACAGAAAGAGGACTAGAATGCCCCAAACCAACAATTGACATCTTCATCAGAAGCAGAAACAAAGGCGGCAGAGTC